TCGTTTAGCTGTGTTGAACGACCACGACAGAACTCAGTTGTTGAACGTAAGCACCAACATCTTCTGAATGTGGCTCGTGCCCTTTTTTTAATCCAGAGTCCCAATTATATTATGATCAGAATGTGTACTAACTGTGGCATACTTAATCAATAGAACACCATCTCCCATTTTACATCACAAAACCCCATTTAAAGTACTACATAGCAACAAAGCCGACTACTCTTGTCTTAGAGTTTTTGGTTGTTTGGGGTTTGCATCAACACTTAATGCCCACAGGACCAAGTTCCAGCCAAGAGCCAAGATGTGTGTCTTCTTGGGCTATCTATCAGGTATCAAAGGTTTCAAACTTCTTGACGTGTCTTCAAAGCAGATCTTTATCTCCAGGGATGTCGTCTTTCACGAAGACATATTTCCCTTTCACTCCATCAAAAATAATGATGAAGTATTAGACCCCTTCCCTAATTTGGTTTTACCCTCATCTTCTTTATCTTTTCCACATGATTTTCCTGTTGACTGTAATCCTGCTTCATCTCCAGTTCATACCCCAAGTTCACAGTCTATTCGTGAACATCCAGAGTCAAATGTACCTTATGTCACCGTTAGTCGTAGATCCCATAGAGTCTCTAGACCTCCCTCATATCTAAAAGACTTCCATTGCAATTTACTTTCATCCAATTCTCCACATTCAAAAACTTCCATTGGCCAATATCTCTCTTATGATAAATTGTCTACTCCCTATTGCCAATTCATATTAAATATCTCCTCTCAGTCTGAACCTCAATACTTCCATCAAGCAGTAAATTTCCTCATTGGCGCGATGCCATGAAGCTCGAGCTGGAAGCCAGGATCTCAATCAAACTTGGTCCCTTATTCCCTTATCGGCTGGAAAGCACACAATAGGCTGTAAATGGGTTTTCAAGAAAAAATATAATTCTGATGGCTCCTTGGAAAGACACAAGGAACGCCTTGTCGCTAAAGGCTTTACACGACAAAAGGGGTTAGATTATTTTGATACATTCTCTCTCCAGTAGCTAAAATTGTTTTTGTCAAAGTCATGCTTGCTCTTGCAGCCTATAATAAGTGGCACTTGATCCAACTAGATGTGAACAATATCTTCTTAAATGGGGACTTTTTTGAGGAGGTTTACATGGACCTTCCCCTTGGCTGCGACCTTATTAAACCTCTCAAACATGGGGAGAAATTGGTGTTTAAGTTGCATAAATCGATATATGGTCTCAAGCAAGCTTCGAGACAATGGAATTCCAAATTCTCTCATGCCCTCATCCAGTATGGTTTCATCCAATCTAAAGCAGATTATTCTCTCTTCACAAAAGGGTCAGGTGATAGCTTTGTAGCCTTATTGGTGTATGTTGATGATATAGTCATTATCGGTCCCAATATTCAGGTGATTAATGAGTTGAAGGAATTTTTACATTCTCAATTCAAACTCAAAGATTTGGGATGCTTAAAGTTCTTCTTGGGAATTGAAATTGCCTGAGCATCAACAGCAATTACCATCTCACAAAGAAATTATACATTGCAACTGATTGAAGATGCAGGTTATTTGGATTGCAAGCCAGTCAACAGTCCTATGGATTCAAAGATTAATCTCAGTGCAGATGATGGAGACTTGTTATCGAACGCATCTCATTATTGAAAACTGATTGGAAGACTGATATATTTGACTCTTACTAGGCCAAACATCATATTTGCAATACACAATATAAGTCAATACATGTCTCGGCCAAGGCTACCCAATCTCAAAGCAGTACATCACCTTCTTTGCTACTTGAAAGGGAGTCCTGTCAAGGCCTTCATTTTCCTTCTAACTTACCTTTAGGCTTTGATTCCTCCATCAAGATTCGAGCTTTCTCTAATGCTGCCTGGGGATCATGCATTGACACATGAAAGTGCACCACTGGGTTTTGTGTCTTCATTGGCGAATCATTAGTTTCTTGGATATCTAAACGCCAATCTACCATCCCTCATTCCTCAGCTAAAGCAGAATATGTTGACCTAATGGTTGACTTCTTATTTTAAATATCACAAACAAATTGCGTTTGATCTTAACAAATTGAATTTAAGTGATTGATAGTGTTATTGCAAATTTATGACACGAAAGATCTAGATCGAGAATCATGCAACCTTAGCACAAAATGATAAACACACAAGCAAGATTGAAGATTCACGAACGAGGAAATGGAAATCGAGCTTTCACGCACAAAATCGCATTGGATGAAGAAATTGAGGACATTAGCTATAGATGCATTTCTATACTCAAATGTAAAGGTAAAACACTTTAATATTTTACATCAATTATAGCTCAAAAAAATTTTATACACAAGGATTATCATGACAAACTTTACTTGTATAAAAATTATTTTTAAAAGATAAGTAATTTGACTTTCACAATTAAATCTTTATGAAAGTACTTATCTATATGAAGTATATAAGAAAACCCTTCAAGTACCTTAAAGAACATTTTTCACGAAGAAGGAAAAATTCGATGGGCAAAACAATTGCCCATCCGAACGTCCGGATGGGGTGTTCAACGGTCGGATTTTTTACCGTTTGGCAAACGGCTAGTTATCCGTCCGGATACCAGGCAAACATCCGAATCACTTGTCTGCATCTTCTGTTTGAATACCACTCTTTCTACATCTTTTAAAACAAGAATTCTAAAGCATTAAAGAGAGTTATTTATTGATCTTATCTACCTTGTTTTTCAATCTTTAAGAGATCAAAATATTTATTTGTTGAAAATTTTTTTGAGTGAGTAACTTTTTGAAAATCATACATCTCAATAAAAGTTATTTCACACAACACTTGAGCTATATTCTTTGTGATTTATCGAAATGTTGTGCATAATTCTCTCTTAATATTTCGTTGTGTTCATATCATTTGTTAAGTGAGAAGCTTTTCAATTGTGACTTTAATTTTCTTGTTCATTGAATTGTGGGTCGTGTTAAGGTCCCGAAAAGCTCAACGTGTAAATAGATCGGTGCTCCTTAATTGTAAGTCACCGAAAGCATTGTAAGGGTTGGATTGCACCATAAGTCTTTCAAAGATAGTGAAAAAGTCTTTGCTCGTGACGGAGAGCTTGGTAACAGGGGACGTAGATTGTGATTGGATTGAACATCCTTATTACATCGTTTGCACTCTCTTTTTCCTTTTTCTTATTACTTTTGTGTTATTTTGTTTATTCATAATTATTTGCTTAAATTTACATTTATTTTCGAAAAAGTTTCAAATAACCAATTCACCCCCTCTTGGTTACTTGTTCTTGGACTTTCAGAATATAGGGCTCTTGCAGTTATTGTTAGCGAAATAGTTTTGGATCAAACAGTTGCTGATGGACTTTCAAGTTGCTAGCACTTCTCTAGCAATAATATACTGTGACAATGTTGCTGCAATACTGGTTGCAAATAATCCAATTTTCCACGAGCAGACGAAACACATTGAGATCGATTGCCTTCATTCGTGACAAGATCATACCTAGAGCAATTAAACTACTTCAGATCAGATCACAGCACCAACTTGCTGATGCATTCATTAAGCCATTGCCTGCTTCCACACTTTCTCCCTTAATGACCAAGATGTGCGTAAAGAACATTTACAGCACAACTTGAGGGGGACTATTACGAAACATTTGTATAGCTAAGGAGTTAGTTAAGAAGTCGGTTAGGAAGCTAGTTTATTCCATGCCAACTGTGAAGTCAGTTAGCCAGCTGGAAATTAGTTGGAGTTAGTTAGCATCTTCTCTTTTCTATTTATACTGAATGCGTACGTATAATTCAGAGACTTTTGGATAATCAATACAAATCATTCTTCAATTCTCTTTCAACTCTAACATGTTATTAGAGCATAATTGAGCTGCAATTTTTTTTTTTACATTTTTCAATTTAGAAATAGTATCTATAATTTCATTGTAATTCTGATCTACAATGGAGCAAAATCATTCAGAGAATGGTTCTGGTTCAAGGCCGGTTGTTAGCAAATCGACCATTGACGAACCTTCCAATCCATATTTCTTACACCACTCGAATAGCCCTGGGTTGGTGCAGCTCAGCAGCTCGTGGGAGGAAACTATGCCGCCTGGAGCCGTGCAATGACCAGTGCTTTGACCATTAAGAATAAGCTCTCGTTCATCGATGGATCCATGAAGGAACCGGATGCTTCTGATCAAGATCTGGTAAATTCGTGGATTAGAAATAACAATATGGTGATATCATGGATCCTTAATTCCGTTTCGAAGGACATATCAGCCAGCGTGATTTATGCTTCCACAGCTCATGAGATTTGGAACGATCTTAAGGAATGATTTCAACAAAATAATGGACTTCGAATTTTCCAGTTAAGAAGGGAACTGATGAATCTGATGCAAGATCAAAACACTGTAAGTGTGTTCTTCACTAAACTTAAATATATATTGGTCACAAATGATAATAATAATAAAATAACAATGCAATTTCGTGCAGATATTTTTCCTTTTTCAATTCAATTTATTCTTACTAGGCTTGGCAGCAAACTAACAAGTTGGTTTAATCTAAGTTGAGAGCCCTTTTGGCAAGGCTTGAGATTAAAAATTTGCTTCCAAACATGTTTGAATAATTTTTTTTTAATTGTTGACTGGCTAGAAGAGCTTTTAGAAGTTGAGCTAAGCTCTTCTCAAAAACCCCTAAATACGTATCCAGCCAAGTACTACCTGTATACCATTTATTAGGTACTTTTACCCAGCCATACCCGTATAACATTGTACACTTACCAGATTTATAGACTTGGCAGCAAATTTTGGTTTAATCTCAACTAAGAGCCAGCTTAAAGTTAAAAGCTACTTTTGAATAAAGTTAAAAGCTACTTTTGAAATTAAAAAAGTTATTTTTGAATATGTATAGATAATTTATAGGAAGTGTTGTCTAGCTAGAAAATCTTTTAGGAGAAGATAATTTAAGCTCTTCCACAAGAAGCAAAAGCTTGGCCAAACGGGACCTAGATACATATCCAGCCAAGCACTACCTGTATAACATTTATGTACTTATACCCAACCAAGTACCCGTACAACAACTGTACATTTAAAGAGTTAAGAAACTGTAAGACCATAAGAAAAGAGAATTCTACAAGAGGCCCAGAAGTCAAGAGGCAAAAAAACTATATTCACAAACCTGAATGCATTGAAACTAAAGAAACCTAGGATGCCATCACGGGTAATCGCGTGTGCCCTATAACAGCCTGGCGAAGTTGATGATACCCACTCCGGTAATGCTCGAGTGAGAAGCAAAGCTGCCTAATTGCTTCTCGTTTCTCTTCCGCCCCTTCCATAATAATTTCTTGCCTTTTCTCCACCTCTATTTCCAATTCTTTAACTCGTGAACGAAGATCTTCTGCCAGTTCACGTGCAGTGATCAATTCATCGTTCATTTTATCCACTCGGTCTTCTTTAGAATTAATCTCTGCAGAAAATTCAGCAAGTTTAGCATTAAGATTGTCTTTTTCAGCCATCAGTATCTCGTATTTCAGTTTCAGCTCATTGAGGCTTTTGTTTACTTCTTCTATGTGGTCATTTCTCTCGGTTATCTCTGCATTCAACTGCTCAACTTGAGCTCCAAGCATATTTTCCATCTCTTCTTTTCCAGCCTTGACTCGTCTAACGTCCTCCCCTAAGGTTTGGCAGCGTAAATCCAGTTCTTTCAGATTGTCCTCTAAATATGTTCGCTCCTTCACGGTTCTAGTTATTTCTGCTTGAAGTTGCTTGTTTTCTTCAGATAAGCTCTTATTAGCGTTCGATACTGCTTCCTTCAATCCTCTGATTTCTTGATCACGGTCAGCAAGATTGGATTTATACCTAGCAATCCGGTCTTGCAGCTTAGAAGCCTCTCTTTTCTCTCTCTCGACTTTAGTTTTCCATACTGAAACCTCCTTTTGAGCTGATTTAAGCTGATCTTGCAAAATTTGAATACGGGATTCTTTCCTTGTATGGTCCTGCATTGCACTGGCAACTTCCTTTTCCAGTTCACGAAGCTTCGCCCGTGTAATTCTCAGTTCTTCCTCAAGCGTCTGAATTTTGTTCACTGACTCCGAATCTTCCGCTTCTGATCCTTCTGCACTTTTCTGAAGCTCTCTAGTATGATATCTTTCAACTTCAACATCGGATTCCAAAACTTCAGCATCTTTCTGCCTTGTATCATTTGAATCTTCTAAAGATTTATACTTTTGAATCTCAATTGTCAGACGGCTGATTTCTTCTTGAAAGAGTAGTATCTTTTGCTTCGCAGCCCTCAATTCTTCTTCGCGTGCTACTAATTTAGCAAGAACTTCAGAATTTTCATCATCTGACTTCTTAACAGAGAGTTCCAAAATCTGTTTCTGCTGGGCCCGGAGTTTCTCTTTCATCTCACGGTGCTCAGCTTCCAACTCAATAATCCTCTGGCGCATCCCCTGATCCACATCGGTGCTCTGAGTACCCGAATAATTGTTAATAGAGGAATCATCTGATTCTGATTCAGAATCCTGTAGTGATGATTCATCGCCTTTAGTACAAATATCTGAACTATTTCCACTGTTGCCGAGAAAGAATTCAAAACCAGCCGCACGGGGCCCAGATTTACGTTGAGTTGGCCTTGGATCAAGAGACGGCACAGTAGAAGGTGGTTCAGATCCAACATCAGATATGCCAGAGCCCTGAGATTGAAGATCCGAAGGAATATTTTTTCGAAGTTCTCCAGTCACATTATCATAACGCTCGGCCAGTGACTGATATACACGATAAAACTCTTCAACAAGATTGATCAACTCTGGCCTCTTCTTGAAATACATTTCAACCTTTTTGGCAAATGAATCTGCATCCTCTTCTATGAGTTTCAACATCCTTTTGACACTATGGTCCATTTCTGGGATCAACAACCTTTTTGTCATTTTTTAGCTCGATACCATAATTCAAATCAAGACAATAAACAATAATCGAAATTGATAACCTAGGTCGATTGACACATCGTTTCTTCCAGATAAAGTTCGTATATTTAAAGGAGGAGGATTAAAAGTAAAGACTTCTATCATCTGCACTCTATGTAGTACATAGATTTTTTATTTTGCCATTTGCAAGAAACCATTCTACGATTAAAGCAAAAATCAAATTTAATACCTTGGAGATTTTCTTGTAGCCACTTGGAGTTTTTGGGACTAATGTGGCTATCCCACCACCAGGAATGTGATTTTTTCGATTCCAACCGCCTCATTTTGTTTGACTTAACCTAGATGGAAACGAGACTGACATAAAAATATACCACTAAAAATGTCATTGAAACTATGCCGAAAGGATTATGTACTTAGTTTATTACCTGGGTTGATGCCATTGTGCGAAGTGAACAAAATTCGATAGTTGATCCGAAGACTTGTAAAATGAAACAGAGTCGATTACCTGCAATCAAGCCAGGTCTGTGTTAATTAGATACAATATGTTAAAGATATAAGTCATCTATACATAAACTCTAAATTTGATGATGGCAATTACCAGGGGCGGAGCCAGGATTTTAGTTCAGTGCGGGCAAAAAAATTTTGACGACGAATGTCGAGGTTTTGGTCAAGGATTTAATGACGATAAAAAAATAAAACAATAGTACATCAATACTAAAAACGACATAATTTATATATTACACTTGTTCTTTGCGAGTTTTCATACTTTGATATCGTTGTATAATAACTTCATTATTGAACCTGAAAAATATATCTTTCTCCACATAAACAATTGCGCTATCATTCATCCACTGATCACCCAATTACTACTAGGAGTGGGAGTAATTCGAGATGTCAAATGAATCACAAATACTGGAAGCAACTCAAAAAATTAGTGCAATTCACAATTTCACAAAATCAATTCACAATCTCACAATTCAATATATACTATTTCCAAATACTTGGCAACTTGAACCTGTAATCACAGATTCCCAGAGAGCCAGAGCCCAGAGGCAACAATGAACTGGTGGTCCATTGGAAGTTTGTGCCGCTTCGAGCAATTAACGAACAAAGTGCTAATTTAATATGTTAAAAACAAAAAACAAAAAACAAATTATTATAATTTTCACAAATGGAAATAACCAAAAAAAAAATAAGGGAAAAAAAATTTGGGGCTTCGCCTTTTGCTTTCTGGAATCTGGCTTCTTCTTTTGTCGGCTCGGTTGGTTGGCGTTGGCACTTGGCGCCTTGGCGGAGCTGAGGATGTAAAGTCGGAGTCAGAGATGTGAGATGTCAAGATGAGAGCCTAGAGTAGGAGATATATAATAATGGACTGTCGGATAAGGAAAGGGAACGACGGTTGTACTGTTACGACTGTCGAAGACGACGGTTGACAGAGAGGGAAGGGAATGGCGGGCTTTGTCACAGGTGGAGAGGGAAGTGGGTGGCGAAGTGTGAAATCATCACAGACAAAGTCATGAAGGGTAGAATTTTTGAAATGAATGAATGGGTTTGGGTCAACAATTGATTCAATTGAATTTTGATATGAATAGGACTAAAACGGGTCATGACCTTGCACAATTGGGCTTCTCTCTCTATGTTGGATCGAGAATTGAGTTACTTGGTTAAACAAACAAACAAACCTCAAAAATTTTTGGCCCAAAATTCCAGTGGGGGCATCTGCCTGCACTGGACGTACAGTGGCTCCGCCCCTGGCAATTACCCTACCTTGAATATATTGATCCACCATCCATAACCATGTTAAGAATTAGAAGTATTTCTTGAAATCTAAAATTCAACAAACATATATGTTTTCTAAAAGCTTAAACTCTTTTTAGACAAGGTAGTTCTATGATATCAAAGACACAGTTCAAATATCTCAGCACAAGTTTGTTTTTTTTTTTAAAAACAAAGGAAATTTAGCCTAAGTATGAGTGTTAGACAACACTAATTTGGATTTTTTTTTTTTTTTTTTAAAAACAAAGGAAATTTAGCCTAAGTATGAGTGTTAGACAACACTAATTTGGATTTTTTTTTTTTTTTTTTAATGGCCGTGGTGTACGAGCCAACTTACGCACACATCGACTAATCCCACGAACTCCTGAAATTTATAACTGAATACTCACCTCAATAGCCCTGAGAGGATTCGATCTAATAACCATTGAAGAGCACACCCAACCTGACTACTGAGCTACTTGATAGTTCATCCATTCTTAAAATTTTGAACCAATATAATACCAATAAATAAATAATAATAATAAGCCAGAAAGTTCATAATGAACAATAATTTATGACAAAAGGGCCAAACCAGTAGGCCTAATAAAGAAGTGAGTTGAGAATGGAGCCCCGATAATAAAGCATAGGATTAGTCTGGAACCGCAAATAATACAAGGAATGAAGGAAATAAAACCCAAAAAAAAATAAAAAAATAAAAAAATAATTATATATGTCTAGAGAGAGAATAGATATCAAGACAGACAAGCCTGAAGTTTGGGAATAACGCTCCTTGGACGGGGGCAATGGCAGGGATGGGGTGACTGAGAGCAATGACAGGTGTTGTGTTTTTCTCCCCAAAGTATTCAATCATGACATGTGTCACCATATGTCATCGAGTGTGTCGCTGCAGCAAGATTGGCAGCAGAGCAGTAAAGTCATGGTCTTCCCGTCATATTCTTGACTGAATATTATTTTATTTAATAATTGAGAAAAAGGAAAAATAGAATCATATTCGTATGAAATTTATGTTTTACGGAATTATTACAGTTATGTCTGAAAAGGGATGAATTCAAAAGGTTTTATTCTTTGAAAAAAAAAAAAAAAAAGAGAATGGTTTCACTGAAAAGGAAGAGGAAATGCCACCCCACAACACAACAGAATTCAGTGAACATGTGATGTGGGCTAAAGTAATTACTGAAGGTATATTGTAAAGGTCATATATGTCACTTAAAGAGGCCATTAATCTACCACATCAACTTGTTTGGGCCCATTGTACATAAATTTTACAATATATACAATTATTTCATAAATACAATTATTATAATTATTTCGTCCCCTCCACCGACACCTCCCCTATCCCTACTATCATCTATAATGATTTTAATGAAATATTTGTGTACATCCCCACCCTTTCACTGCTACCCTCCCAATCACCATTTTTGCCACCATTTTTGCCACTGTCTAGGGCTTCCATCGTCTATCGATTGTATCTCCTTGAATATGACTCTGACCCTCTTCCTCAATCAACGATGTCAACTTAGTGAGCACTTTAAACTGACATATTAACATTTCACCGAGTAAAAGACCATACATCGAGTTTTCGAAATGATGTACAACATAAAATCACAAATGAATATATATACCTCAAGATCGTCAATGAGAGCTGATAACTGTCAGCTCTGTCCCATGGATAATTGTTGAATGTATCAATGTCATCAACAACCTCTAAATGAAATATATCGATCGACGTCTTCTTGTGATGACACTTCAGTATGCTCTCTACGATATAAACATCATCCCCAATTTCAACTTATCAAACATATTGTCGCATTCCTTGAATATGTCTCCTAACTGTGTCATTGTTACTTTACTTAATTAAATCGTTTGTCTAATATTTAATTGTTAGTTATTTATTTAAATTGTTCGTTTAAATTATTTATTTAGTATTTAAATGTGTATTTAAATTATTTATTTTAATTGTTTAGTTGTTTATTTAATATTTATTTTAATTGTTAATTGAATGTTTAACTGTTTGTTTTAATTGTTAATTATTTATTTCAATTGTTTATTTAATATTTAATTATTTATTTTTATTATTTATATTTATGGTTCATTTAAATTATTTATTTATTACTTAAATGCTATTTATTTATTTCAATTGTTTACAGAAATTGTTTAATTACTTATTTTTTATTTTTTATATTTATTGTTCATTTAAATTATTTATTTAATATTTAAATGCTAATTATTTATTTCAATTATTTATTTAATATTTAATTACTTATTTAAACTATTTTTTATTATTTATATTTATTTGTTATTTATGTTAAGTAATTATTTTTATTGCTTAATTAATATTTAATTTATTTCTTTATTGAATTTATTTCAATTAGTTATTTATCATTTCAATTAGTTTATTATTTCAATTAGTTATTTATTATTTACTTAAATAAAAATATACATAAATAATTAACATAATTCATAAAATATTTAAATAAATAATAAAGTATAAAATACATAATTATATATTAAACAAATAATATATATAAATGTACCTAATGTCACCGTTAGTCGTAGATCCCATAGAGTCTCTAGACCTCCCTCATATCTAAAAGACTTCCATTGCAATTTACTTTCATCCAATTCTCCAAATTCAAAAACTTCTCGTCACCATATTGGCCAATATCTCTCTTATGATAAATTGTCTACTCCCTATTGCCAATTCATATTAAATATCTCCTCTCAGTCTGAACCTCAATACTTCCATCAAGCAATAAATTTCATCATAGGCCTGATGCCATGAAGCTCGAGCTGGAAGCCAAGAACTCAATCAAACTGGGTCCCTTATTCCTTTATCGGCTGGAAAGCACACAATAGGCTGTAAATGGGGTTTCAAGAAAAAAATATAATTCTGATGGCTCCTTGGAAAGACACAAGGAACGCCTTGTCGCTAAAGGCTTTACACGACAAAAGGGGTTAGATTATTTTGATACATTCTCTCCAGTAGCTAAAATTGTTTTTGTCAAAGTCATGATTGCTCTTGCAGCCTATAATAAGTGGCACTTGGTCCAACTAGATGTGAACAATATCTTCTTAAATGGGGACTTTTTTGAGGAGGTTTACATGGACCTTCCCCTTGGCTGCGACCTTATTAAACCTCTCAAACATGGGGAGAAATTGGTGTTTAAGTTGCATAAATCGATATATGGTCTTAAGCAAGCTTCGAGACAATGGAATTCCAAATTCTCTCATGCCCTCATCCAGTATGGTTTCATCCAATCTAAAGAAGATTATTCTCTCTTCACAAAAGGGTCAGGTGATAGCTTTGTAGCCTTATTGGTGTATGTTGATGATATAGTCATTATCGGTCCCAATATTCAGGTGATTAATGAGTTGAAGGAATTTTTACATTCTCAATTCAAACTCAAAGATTTGGGATGCTTAAAGTTCTTCTTGGGAATTGAAATTGCCTGAGCATCAACAGCAATTACCATCTCACAAAGAAATTATACATTGCAACTGATTGAAGATGCAGGTTATTTGGATTGCAAGCCAGTCAACAGTCCTATGGATTCAAAGATTAATCTCAGTGCAGATGATGGAGACTTGTTATCGAACGCATCTCATTATTGAAAACTGATTGGAAGACTGATATATTTGACTCTTACTAGGCCAAACATCATATTTGCAATACACAATATAAGTCAATACATGTCTCGGCCAAGGCTACCCAATCTCAAAGCAGTACATCACCTTCTTTGCTACTTGAAAGGGAGTCCTGTCAAGGCCTTCATTTTCCTTCTAACTTACCTTTAGGCTTTGATTCCTCCATCAAGATTCGAGCTTTCTCTAATGCTGCCTGGGGATCATGCATTGACACATGAAAGTGCACCACTGGGTTTTGCGTCTTCATTGGCGAATCATTAGTTTCTTGGATATCTAAACGCCAATCTACCATCCCTCATTCCTCAGCTAAAGCAGAATATGTTGACCTAATGGTTGACTTCTTATTTTGATTATCACAAACAAATTGCGTTTGATCTTAACAAATTGAATTTAAGTGATTGATAGTGTTATTGCAAATTTATGACACAAAAGATCTAGATCGAGAATCATGCAACCTTAGCACAAAATGATAAACACACAAGCAAGATTGAAGATTCACGAACGAGGAAATGGAAATCGAGCTTTCACGCACAAAATCGCATTGGATGAAGAAATTGAGGACATTAGCTATAGATGCATTTCTATACTCAAATGTAAAGGTAAAACACTTTAATATTTTACATCAATTATAGCTCAAAAAAATTTTATGCACAAGGATTATCATGACAAACTTTACTTGTATAAAAATTATTTTTAAAACATAAGTAATTTGACTTTCACAATTAAATCTTTATGAAAGTACTTATCTATATGAAGTATATAAGAAAACCCTTCAAGTACCTTAAAGAACATTTTTCACGAAGAAGGAAAAATTCGATGGGCAAAACAATTGCCCATCCGAACGTCCGGATGGGGTGTTCAACGGTCGGATTTTTTACCGTTTGGCAAACGGCTAGTTATCCGTCCGGATACCAGGCAAACATCCGAATCACTTGTCTGCATCTTCTGTTTGAATACCACTCTTTCTACATCTTTTAAAACAAGAATTCTAAAGCATTAAAGAGAGTTATTTATTGATCTTATCTACCTTGTTTTTCAATCTTTAAGAGATCAAAATATTTATTTGTTGAAAATTTTTTTGAGTGAGTAACTTTTTGAAAATCATACATCTCAATAAAAGTTATTTCACACAACACTTGAGCTATATTCTTTGTGATTTATCGAAATGTTGTGCATAATTCTCTCTTAATATTTCGTTGTGTTCATATCATTTGTTAAGTGAGAAGCTTTTCAATTGTGACTTTAATTTTCTTGTTCATTGAATTGTGGGTCGTGTTAAGGTCTCGAAAAGCTCAACGTGTAAATAGATCGGTGCTCCTTAATTGTAAGTCACCGAAAGCATTGTAAGGGTTGGATTGCACCATAAGTCTTTCAAAGATAGTGAAAAAGTCTTTGCTCGTGACGGAGAGCTTGGTAACAGGGGACGTAGATTGTGATTGGATTGAACATCCTTATTACATCGTTTGCACTCTCTTTTTCCTTTCTCTTATTACTTTTGTGTTATTTTGTTTATTCATAATTATTTGCTTAAATTTACATTTATTTTCAAAAAAGTTTCAAATAACCAATTCACCCCCTCTTGGTTACTTGTTCTTGGACTTTCAGAATATAGGGCTCTTGCAGTTATTGTTAGCGAAATAGTTTTGGATCAAACAGTTGCTGATGGACTTTCAAGTTGCTAGCACTTCTCTAGCAATAATATACTGTGACAATGTTGCTGCAATACTGGTTGCAAATAATCCAATTTTCCACGAGCAGACGAAACACATTGAGATCGATTGCCTTCATTCGTGACAAGATCATACCTAGAGCAATTAAACTACTTCAGATCAGATCACAGCACCAACTTGCTGATGCATTCATTAAGCCATTGCCTGCTTCCACACTTTCTCCCTTAATGACCAAGATGTGCGTAAAGAACATTTACAGCACAACTTGAGGGGGACTATTACGAAACATTTGTATAGCTAAGGAGTTAGTTAAGAAGTCGGTTAGGAAGCTAGTTTATTCCATGCCAACTGTGAAGTCAGTTAGCCAGCTGGAAATTAGTTGGAGTTAGTTAGCATCTTCTCTTTTCTATTTATACTGAATGCGTACGTATAATTCAGAGACTTTTGGATAATCAATACAAATCATTCTTCAATTCTCTTTCAACTCTAATATGGTATTAGAGGATAATTGAGCTGCAATTTTTTTAAAAATTTTTCAATTTAGAAATAGTATCTATAATTTCATTGTAATTCTGATCTACAATGGAGCAAAATCAATCAGAGAATGGTTCTGGTTCAAGGCCGGTTGTTAGCAAATCGACCATTGACGAACCTTCCAATCCATATTTCTTACACCACTCGAATAGCCCTGGGTTGGTGCAGCTTAGCAGGTCGTGGGAGAAAACTATGCCGCCTGGAGCCGTGCAATGACCATTCTTTGACCATTAAGAATAAGCTCTTGTTCATCGATGGATCCATGAAGGAACTGGAGCCGTGCAATGACCATTGCTTTGACCATTAAGAATAAGCTCTCGTTCATCGATGGATCCATGAAGGAACCGGATGCTTCTGATCAAGATCTGGTAAATTCGTGGATTAGAAATAACAATATGGTGATATCATGGATCCTTAATTCCGTTTCGAATGACATATCAGCCAGCGTGATCTATGCTTCCACAGCTCATGAGATTTGGAACGATCTTAAGGAATGATTTCAACAAAATAATGGACCTCGAATTTTCCAGTTAAGAAGGGAACTGATGAATCTGATGCAAGATCAAAACACTGTAAGTGTGTTCTTCACTAAACTTAAATATATATTGGTCACAAAATGATAATAATAATAAAATAACAATGCAATTTCGTCCAGATATTTTTCCTTTTTCAATTCAATTTATTCTTGCTAGACTTGGCAGCAAACTAACAAGTTGGTTTAATCTCAGTTGAGAGCCCTTTTGGCAAGGCTTGAGATTAAAAATTTGCTTCCAAACATGTTTGAATAATTTTTTTTTAATTGTTGACTGGCTAGAAGAGCTTTTAGAAGTTGAGCTAAGCTCTTCTCAAAAACCCCTAAATACGTATCCAGCCAAGTACTACCTGTATACCATTTATTAGGTACTTTTACCCAGCCATACCCGTATAACATTGTACACTTACCAGATTTACAGACTTGGCAGCAAATTTTGGTTTAATCTCAACTAAGAGCCAGCTTAAAGTTAAAAGCTACTTTTGAATAAAGTTAAAAGCTACTTTTGAAATTAAAAAAGTTATTTTTGAATACGTATAGATAATTTATAGGAAGTGTTGTCTAGCTTGAAAATCTTTTAGGAGAAGATAATTTAAGCTCTTCCACAAGAAGCAGAAGCTTGGCCAAACGGGACCTAGATACATATCCAGCCAAGCACTACCTGTATAACATTTATGTACTTATACCCAGCCAAGTACCCGTACAACAACTGTACATTTAAAGAGTTAAGAAACTGTAAGACCATAAGAAAAGAGAATTCTACAAGAGGCCTAGAAGTCAAGAGGCAAAAAAACTATATTCACAAACCTGAATGCATTGAAACTAAAGAAACCTAGGATGCCATCACAGGTAATCGCGTGTGCCCTATAACAGCCTGGCGAAGTTGATGATACCCACTCCGGTAATGCTCGAGTGAGAAGCAAAGCTGCCTAATTGCTTCTCGTTTCTCTTCCGCCCCTTCCATAATAATTTCTTGCCTTTTCTCCACCTCTATTTCCAATTCTTTAACTCGTGAACGAAGATCTTCTGCCAGTTCACGTGCAGTGATCAATTCATCGTTCATTTTATCCACTCGGTCTTCTTTAGAATTTATCTCTGCAGAAAATTCAGCAAGTGTAGCATTAAGATTGTCTTTTTCAGCCATCAGTATATCGTATTTCAGTTTCAGCTCATTGAGGCTTTTGTTTAATTCTTCTATGTGGTCATTTCTCTCGGTTATCTCTGCATTCAACTGCTCAACTTGAGCTCCAAGCATATTTTCCATCTCTTCTTTTCCAGCCTTGACTCGTCTAACGTCCTCCCCTAAGGTTTGGCAGCGTAAATCCAGTTCTTTCAGATTGTCCTCTAAATAAGTTCGCTCCTTCACGGTTCTAGTTATTTCTGCTTGAAGTTGGTTGTTTTCTTCAGATAAGCTCTTATTAGCGTTCGATACTGCTTCCTTCAATCCTCTGATTTCTTGATCACGGTCAGCAAGATTGGATTTATACCTAGCAATCCGGTCTTGCAGCTTAGAAGCCTCTCTTTTCTCTCTCTCGACTTTAGTTTTCCATACTGAAACCTCCTTTTGAGCTGATTTAAGCTGATCTTGCAAAATTTGAATACGGGATTCTTTCCTTGTATGGTCCTGCATTGCACTGGCAACTTCCTTTTCCAGTTCACGAAGCTTCGCCCGTGTAATTCTCAGTTCTTCCTCAAGCGTCTGAATTTTGTTCACTGACTCCGAATCTTCCGCTTCTGATCCTTCTGCACTTTTCTGAAGCTCTCTAGTATGATATCTTTCAACTTCAACATCGGATTCCAAAACTTCAGCATCTTTCTGCCTTGTATCATTTGAATCTTCTAAAGATTTATACTTTTGAATCTCAATTGTCAGACGGCTGATTTCTTCTTGAAAGAGTAGTATCTTTTGCTTCGCAGCCCTCAATTCTTCTTCGCGTGCTACTAATTTAGCAAGAACTTCAGAATTTTCATCATCTGACTTCTTAACAGAGAGTTCCAAAATCTGTTTCTGCTGCGTCCGGAGTTTCTCTTTCATCTCACGGTGCTCAGCTTCCAACTCAATAATCCTCTGGGGCATCCCCTGATCCACATCGGTGCTCTGAGTACCCGAATAATTGTTAATAGAGGAATCATCTGATTCTGATTCAGAATCCAGTAGTGATGATTCATCGCCTTTAGTACAAAAATCTGAACTATTTCCACTGTTGCCGAGAAAGAATTCAAAACCAGCCGCACGGGGCCCAGATTTACGTTGAGTTGGCCTTGGATCAGGAGACGGCACAGTAGAAGGTGGTTCAGATCCAATATCAGATATGCCAGAGCCCTGAGATTGAAGATCCGAAGGAATATTTTTTCGAAGTTCTCCAGTCACATTATCATAACGCTCGGCCAGTGACTGATATACACGATAAAACTCTTCAACAAGATTGATCAACTCCGGCCTCTTCTTGAAATACATTTCAACCTTTTTGGCAAATGAATCTGCATCCTCTTCTATGAGTTTCAACATCCTTTTGACACTATGGTCCATTTCTGGGATCAACAACCTTTTTGTCATTTTTTAGCTCGATACCATAATTCAAATCAAGACAATAAACAATAATCGAAATTGATAACCTAGGTCGATTGACACATCGTTTCTTCCAGATAAAGTTCGTATATTTAAAGGAGGAGGATTAAAAGTAAAGACTTCTATCATCTGCACTCTATGTAGTACATAGATTTTTTATTTTGCCATTTGCAAGAAACCATTCTACGATTAAAGCAAAAATCAAATTTAATACCTTGGAGATTTTCTTGTAGCCACTTGGAGTTTTTGGGACTAATGTGGCTATCCCACCACCAGGAATGTGATTTTTTCGATTCCAACCGCCTCATTTTGTTTGACTTAACCTAGATGGAAACGAGACTGACATAAAAATATACCACTAAAAATGTCATTGAAACTATGCCGAAAGGATTATGTACTTAGTTTATTACCTGGGTTGATGCCATTGTGCGAAGTGAACAAAATTCGATAGCTGATCCGAAGACTTGTAAAATGAAACAGAGTCGATTACCTGCAATCAAGCCAGGTCGGTGTTAATTAGATACAATATGTTAAAGATATAAGTCATCTATACATAAACTCTAAATTTGATGATGGCAATTACCCTACCTTGAATATATTGATCCACTATCCATAACCATGTTAAGAATTAGAAGTATTTCTTGAAATCTAAAATTCAACAAACACATGTGTTTTCTAAAAGCTTAAACTCTTTTTAGACAAGGTAGTTCTATGATATCAAGAGTTCAAATATCTCAGCACACGTCTGTTTTTTTTTTTTAAAAGGGAATTTAGCCTACGTATGAGTGTTAGACAACAATAATTAAAAAAAAAAAAAAAACAAATCCATTCTTAATTTTTTTTTTTTTTTAATGGCCGTGGTGTACGAGCCAATTTACGCACACCTCAACTAATCCCACGAACTCCTGAAGTTTACAACTGAGTACTCATCTCAATGACCTGAAAGGATTCGAACTAATAACCATTGAAGAGCAAACCTAATACGTGACTACTGAGCTACCCTATCAGGTTCATCCATTCTTAAAATTTTGAACCAATATAATACCAAAAGATAAATAATAATAAACCAGAAAGTTCTTAATGAACAATAATTTATGACAAAAGGGCCAGAAAAGGGCCAAACCAGTAGGCCTAATAAAGAAGTGAGTTGACAATGGAGCCCCAATAATAAAGCATAGGATTAGTCTGGAACCGCAAATAATACAAGGAATGAAGGAAATAAAACCTGAAGAAGCTGATGCTTGATTAGTATTGTTTTGCCCAAAAAAAAAAAAAAAAAAAAAAATAATTATATATGTCTAGAGAGAATAGATATCAAGACAGACAAGCCTGAAGTTTGGGAATAACGCTCCTTCGACGGGGGCAATGGCAGGGATGGGGTGACTGAGAGCAATGACAGGTGTTGTGTTTTTTTTCCCCCAAAGTATTCAATCATGACATGTGTCACCATATGTCATCGAGCGTGTCGCTGCAGCAAGATTGGCAGCAGAGCAGTAAAGTCATGGTCTTCCCGTCATATTCTTGACTGAATATTATTTTATTTAATAATTGAGAAAAAGGAAAAATAGAATCATATTCGTATGAAATTTATGTTTTACGGAATTATTACAGTTATGTCTGAAAAGGGATGAATTCAAAAGGTTTTATTCTTTGAAAAAAAAAAAAAAAAGAGAGAATGGTTTCACTGAAAAGGAAGAGGAAATGCCACCCCACAACACAACAGAATTCAGTGAACATGTGATGTGGGCTAAAGTAATTACTGAAGGTATATTGTAAAGGTCATATATGTCACTTAAAGAGGCCATTAATCTACCACATCAACTTGTTTGGGCCCATTGTACATTGTAGCTCAAAATATATTTTGAAATAGTATTTTGACACCAAATTTTTTATAAAAAAATAAAAATAAAAAATTGCGATTTTATGTAATATTATTTTATCAAAAAATATGTGATTGAAAATAAGAGAAAAAATTGTATTTTAAAAATAATAAGAATCGCTAATAACAATTAATACAATTCAAGAAAAAATCCACTAAAACAATTAGAAAAACGCAAACGCTACTGTTTTCTTCAATTTCAATTTCCCAGATTTTCCACAGAGAGAGAGAGAGAGCTGAGTTCTTACCTCAGATCAGAATATACTTTTGCAGAGAAAAAGGCTTCTGGGCACTGAGAAAGATGTGGGATTTCTATCAGTTTTCAGCCCACAAAAAGAAATAAATTCTCCAAATAAAATGAAAATAAATACAACCGTGGATACAAAGCTCACATTTTTATTACAGGAAGTACAAATATTGAAGAAAAAACAGAAAAGAAAAATGGAGAAAAGGATCTGATACTTTGTGGAATATAATATAAGAAGAGAAGAGGCAATAGAGACAAATTTGGAAAAACCCNGACTTAAAATTGGAGGGAAAACCGTCAAACCACTTAACAATTGTATCCAATTTAACTGAAAATCGCCATTCGTTTTAAAGTCCACATTGACAATTTGATCAAGTGGAGACACAAATTCACACATTTAAATTGGTTAGGGACTCAAAACCTCACTTTTAAAGGTTGGAGACTATGATTACACCACGTAAAAAAAGTTGGGAAGCCCATCTCTAATTTTCTCATACTTTTATAACCTTAAAATCCCTGCAGAATTTCTCTATTTTTCAACTGCTATATTCATATTCATATACATTACATTATCTTCACATACTCGAATTTTATATCCTAATGATATGGAAGTAACAAAAAGATGACTTTAATATGTTCACTATAACATAAATAGGTTTTATAGATCACAAAAACCAACTTAAGAACATATAAAAATTATGAGAATAAATGACTTTCTTACGCAACAGGAGAGGTCCTCCTGGTACAGGTAACATGACAAGTCTCAGGATATTTCGGGTTCATGCTTCTATCACAATACAATGAGCATAATCGTGATAAGCTCATAGAATAAACTTACATTGATAAAAAAAAGATGCAAACCAGCAAAATATACCTGACATACCTAACCAATCAAGCAATCGAACAATAATCTTTTTCCTACGCCCACCATACAGCAATTTTGAAGGTAAGCCCATTCAAATGCGATTTGACCCAAATAACATAAAGTGATGACCTCAGAGAATTCCATTACAATACGTCACAAACCATACAGCAGAATCAGCAGTGCATTAATGCAATATTGAATGGTACATATTCCTCCTACAATTTCACTTTTATTCTGGAATTCAACGGCATCATGAAAGAAACTCGCTGCAACATGCATGTGCAAGCAACCAAAGGAAAAAAAGTTCACCCACTAAACATCATCCTAAATTGCTACACGCATTATTAAGAATGACCCGTCAAAACGAAAGATTTCCAAAGCTAATTTCGACTAAAAGATCAAACAGAAGACTAAGCTCCAGCATAACATGTTACAGTACGCATTTGCAGCAAAATGGTTGCACTAAGCAAAGCCTAAAATTTTCACAAAGCACCTTGACCTGAGTATACAAATTAGAAAAATAAACTTACTTCCTCATACTCATAATCCCTATCACTTCCATCCCATGGATATTGTTGAAGAACAATCCCCTCTCCCTCTTCATCCTCTCCAATATCTGAAATTGGGGAAAACATAACTTAATTGTTAAGAGAAGCTTCACAACCCAATTAACAGAAGACAAAACAATGTAAGACATAAAACAATGTAGCCTCAAATAAAAAAGCAGTTATAAACAAACATCTCACCATCCAAATCATCTCCTAAATTCTCTTTCTCATCACTTAGAAGATCGGTATGAACCTGCAACAGTTCAAAACGATGTTAATAACAAATAATTGCTCGAAAATAATTTTTTAACGCAGGATCTCAGACAATATGATAAAACCACTAACCGGTTTCTTCTTCTTCTTTTTCAGACCAGCAAATGAAGTTTCAAGGCCATCAGAAACTGCAGAATTCAGTAAACATACACAGCATCATAGCACAACTGCGGCCCAATAAAAACATGGAAAGGGAACAATGTACAGGAAATCATGAACATTAGATTGCTGAGTTAATTTACAAGAACAAGAGATTGCTGAATTTATTTACCAGACAGGCTCTCAGTTTTCTCAGCCAGATTATCAACAGACTCTTCTTCTGCAGGATCTTGAATCACGACCTTCTTCTTCTTCTTCTTCTTTGTAGGGTCAAAAGGAGCAATCTGCAATAACAAAACAATTGATCTGAGTCCTTGGAATATTCAAATTCCGCAGGGATAAAGAGATCTGTATTTTTAACTACTATTCCAAGAACCTTTCTAGGACAAATCAGTTTCTTCAGAAAACTGAACTGACAAGAAATCAAGCAAATCAAAGTGTCCAATACCTCTTTTACCCTGACTAATTCTCATTACTTCACTTTATTGGAATCACTTAGAAACTTTCTGATCCAAAAGAATCAAAAAAATGATATTATTTCCACTTCGCAACTTTCATAATTTTATTCACACCATTTTCGTATTCCGGTGTTGCTGAACACACTTAGCACACAGAAGAATATTTTCGTCCCCGTACATATAAGGTTAATCACTTTATTCATATATAAAAACATATACAATCAATACAGATAGCAAGCATATGAAACCCTCCACATTACCAAGAACATAAATCTTGATAATTATTAGCAGTAATTTACAAATAATGTCATTATAATACCCACCCAGAGTAAAAGAAATACAATTATACGAGTTCTAGTGTGAAAAGAATGAGAAAGTTGCCGGTACAGCATCGTAAAACTATAACATGAGATAAGACACTTACATCCCCTGCCTCTTCCTTAACCTCCTTAACTTCGTTTTGATTTTCCTCGTCAGCCATGGTTGTGCTTGGATCTGCAACATATATAAAAAAACCTAAATCAAATTCAAAATCCCGTAATATAACATTATCAGAAAAATTTAACGCTGTCAAAAATCAAAACCCCAACGCAAAATAATATATGGATAGAAAAAAAAAATATTTCGATAATAGGAGTATTTCTTTCAAGTTTACAGATTCAGAAGAAGCGAAAACCTAGAAAATGGAATGGATTGAAGAGAAATGGAAATTACCTTGACGAAGAATGGGGATTCTGCTTTTTTCGCTGTTCTGCGGCGGACTCGGTCGATATAGGGTTTATCTTGGCCCTAATGCCTATATTCGAAATTCTATAATATGGTGGGCTGGGCTTATCTTAGTTATGGGCTGTCAGAAAATCCAGCCCAAGGTGTCGACAAAAGCCTTTAGACCATTATCTCCATGGACTGTTTTTTCTTTTTCAAGAGGAAATTACACAAAATCATATCATTAAAATCCTAGATTCTAAAAGTTAACATTTCAAAAATCAGAAATTTCATTTTAAGTAATATTTTTACAAAATAAATATTTCTACTCACAAACCCTAATTCTCTCTCTCACATTTCTCCATTCTACCTCAAAATAATCGTTGCCTCGCTGATATAAAAATAATAATAATAATAAAAAACACATGTCGCCTCCTCTCTCTCTCTCTCTCAATCCTTCCCTAGCAACACAACTTCGATGTTGGAGGCATGATCACCCTTCAAACCAGTGGAGTTGAAGCGCAGAGTTCCCACTCTCCCTCTCGCTCTCTGTCTCTCTACATTTCCTCCCACAAGCAGCACAAATTTGAATACCGATGACTAGCAGAGCTACAGCATCTATGACAGATGCGAGCGAAGTTCAACTTCTATGGTGGCTTTATCCTAGGTTGTGTCAACTCTCCTTGACGTAACGGTAGCACACATGTCGCCTGCAAGACAGTGCAATCTGTCGCCTAATCTACTTCGACAGCTCCATCCTGCAGCGATCTACAGTACGTCGTCGTGCTAAAAGCTATGAATTGATTGCAATGGTGGTTGTTGTCGAAGTGGCTGTGGCAGCTTAGTGGATTTATGGTTGTGGTGTGGTGGATTTGTGGAGTTATATAGTTTATTTGTCGTGATGGTGAGATGGTGTGGTGATGGTTGTGGTGGTTGCGGCGACGACATTGGTGCTGTTCTCGTTGTGGCAGTGGCGGTGATAATGCTGGAGTTGAATTTTTTTTTTTTATGGTGTTTGGGATGTGATAGTTGTGGTGATTTTTGGTTACTAAGAGTGTAGTGGTGGTAGTTTTCATGTTTTGAGAATGGTAGTGGCGGTGGTGGTAGACTGTGATGGTCGTAGCAATGGTGGTGATGACAGTGAGATGTTGGTGGAAGTGTTAATTTTCTTTGAAACAGTGGTGTTGCTATAAGGTGATAGTGGTGGTGGTGGTTGTTCTCACAGTAACGGTTACGTGGTGATGTTGGAGGCAATGGTTGTTTAGTAGTGGTCACAGATTAATTGGTTGATTGTGACCATTAAATTGGTTAAGCATGTGACCAATAAAAAAGATAAATTATGACAAAAAAATAACGAGTGACCTAAAAAATTAATAAATTGTGACTTATAATATTTGTGATCTGTGATTGACGGACAAATTGTAACCTACAAAAGTTTTGAATTGTGACCGTAAAATAATTTGTGGCATTGAAAGATTCTGATTTGTGATCGAAAAATAATATTTGACTATTTAAATTGTGAATCTGTGATTAAATTGTATAGATCCGTGATTTTAATATATTTAATTAATAAATAATAAATTTTAATGAATATCTGATTTATGAAATTTAAAACTTATATTCTTACTTTTGAAATGAGTAATAATTATTCTCTTAGTTATGAAATTTTCCCTTTTTTCAATCCTATGCATGTATACTTTGGTTTAAATAAAAATCAGATTTTCAGTATATTTTAATTAAAAATGATAAAATATATGATTAAAAAATTATGTATCTTATAAAATGTGTGGTTAAAACTAATTGTTGACTTTAACTTAAATTTTAATCAAATTTTTGTCCGAACCAAACAACATCTAGGCTTATTATTCTTCTTTGAAATCTCTATTGTCTTTAGATATGTATTAAAACTCGTAAATCAAATTTTAAAAACAATTATCTTTAGAAGGGACGAGTATTTAATAGTTTTCACGGACATTTAGATGTTCCTAACTTGATTCTTCAAGAATTTTCTTCGTTCATAGCGGATCGAACAATCTCTGAACTTTTGGTGACCCAAACCTATTTGCACCACTACTATTCTTATGCAGTCATTCTAACTTAATGAGTAAAGACTAAAGCCTAGCTCAAGTTGTAAGAACGAATTTTTATTAGGTTATTGACCTAATAAAAAAGGAGAGGCTAATTTAATGATTATTATGACCTTTGGGCTAGTTTTTATTGATAAGAATGTATCAAGTTTGTGATTATGACCATAAGCAAACTTCAGTTTGATTATTTGTTAAAATTTACCTTTTTTTCTTGAATTCCATTTCTCTCTCTCACAACTTTTCCGTACTTATTTTCTACTGATTGCTATGACTTATATATGTTTGGTTGCTACTTATAAGCACCGTTGTGAAAAAGTAAAATGCATATTTTTGTTTAAAGCTAATTTTAGTAGTCAATATATTTTTGGAAAAACAGGTTGACAAAATTCTTGTTTTGTACACCCAAATATACAAGAGCCTTAATCCAAATCCAATGGATTATGTACCCTTGCTATGGTTTGAATTATAAACTTTATTTTTATTCAGTTTTATTAAAGACGAGCTAGTGGATCTCGCACTTAATGTGATAAGGAGACAAATTAAACATGGCATGGTTGTGATAACAATACTTCCTTATGTGAATGATAGCGCATTTAAGTGAATTAGAAAAAGTCTCTAAAATACCATTAATTGAGGCACTTCTACCGTAGGGGTCAACGACAAGGTTTGGGACAGACGTGCGCTTGATAAAATTTTATTGGCGATTTAAAATAAAAAAAAAAAAAGAAGGAAAGAAAGAAATAAAAATCTGTCAATTAAAAATTACCATTTCAGCACATGAATATAATTCGTGTCATTGATCTTGTGCAACCAATTAAATCCTTATTGAGGACTTTGAAGAATGCCAACCTTAGTGATGTAATGTCCAGATTGGGAGTTAATTAAATCAATAATCACTCAACTTTATCTTATGGTACTACTTGCTCAATTAAATTTGAAAAGTTACTCATTACTCATTCATATTTGAAAAATGTTACTTATTCATCACTTAAACAAATAGTAATACTATTTAGTTTCGCTGATATAAAATGATAAGTGAAATTAAATTAATTATTTAATTTCACATTTCATTTAGTTCATCATCCAGCGTCACCTAAACTAAAGTTCTAACCCTGGTAGGGCTACATAGCATACTCCTTACACAAATTGAGTAATACTATTTAACCTCACTGGAATTTCATCTCCAATCTAGGTGGCGCTAATATAGCATTAATTGATAGGTAGAATTAAATGACTCATTTAATTTAACGTTTCATTTAACCATCATATAGTGTTACTTTAACTAGGGTTGTAATCTCAGTGGGGTTACATAACATTATTCGTGCAAATTCTATCAATTCATATGGATTAGAAAATATATGTGAACGGATAAAAATCCTTCACGGCATTAAGGGAGTCCACATGGATGGATATAATTGGTACAAGTGATGAATGTATAAACATTTTTAATTATGTGTGAGTAATAAGTAATTTTTTATTTTTTTTAATAAAAAACATTTGAGTAAGTAAGATAAAATTTAATGAGCACTGGTTTAATTAACTTGATTTTAGAGGGATTTAAATTTGGCATTGTAGAGATTTATTTCGGTTCTAAATCTAATAAATTTATGAACTTAAGAATTATTACAACTCTACAAATCAATCATTTGCTCACCAATAATTAATCTCTATTCAATTTATTTTTCATCCAGGAGCAGATCCATGTTTTTTTAAGGTGAATTGAAATTTAAAAAATATCAATGTAGTAAAGTTTATATATAAATAATTAGTAAGGCAACAAAAAATTCAAAAACTTCATCTAATAATTAATAAGTTTAATAAATTAGTGATGTGGTGACAAATGAAGTATTTATTAAAGGTGTAATAGAGTATAACTGAGGTGTATAATTTTAATTATAGAAAAATAACAATATAAAATGGAGGCTTTAAAATGTCAAGTGTGAAAAAAGATATAATTGATTAAACAGGTAGCAACATTATAATTATAAAACCAACCCACAAACAATATTATAAAATTTTTAATGAAAAGGGTTAAAATTTTACGAATTCTTTATTTTCATTTTATTATTATGTGAAAAAAAGATAATCATTTAAAACCGAGTTAATTAAATCAATACTCATTAAACTTTATCCCAAATTACTATTTGCTCACCTTAATTTTTTTTATTAAAAAAAAGTTACTCATTGCTTACCCATATTTAAAAAATGTTATCAACACTCGTATCACTTACAGCTATCCATGTAGACTTTGTGAATGCCACGTAGGATTTCCATCACTGCACGTGGATTTTTTGTCCAGGTGGGTGGATGAAAATTGTACGAATGATGAATGGAAAACCTTGTTCAGCTATGAGTGAGCAGAGAGCAGTTTTTTAATTTTAGGTGAGCAAATAGCAACCTAAAGTTCAGTGAATATTAATTTAATCAACTTCAGATGGGAATAAAGAGGTGTGATCGAATAAGGTGATTGGAGGCGTTTAATGGACACAAAAAATCTAATAGCAGTCTTCTATACATCTAAAAGACGTGAATCTTATTGGGTAGGTGTGACATAAATTATTCATATACGTTTGATATGAACACAAGTGACCGAATAGTATAGATTAAACCATGCCAAAAGTTAAACTTAACTTTTTTAAAAGATGTTATTCATGCTATTTTCTTAGGAAGCATTAAATTCAAATAAATTAACATCTTCGCTCCTATTGCTTAAGCTTTCAAACGAGAGAATTGAGCTAGCAGAAAGATTGTTCAAAGGAACCATGCCTACGAGTTATCAAGCCGATGTTTAGCCCCCTTTCTCGATAACTCATCTTTTTTGAAACTCATTTTGACCACACAATTTAATGAATCCACAATTTTATCAACTTTTAAAACACGTTTTATTAGCTTTTATCTAAATTTACTAAAAATTTGATTTTTAGCTAAACCAAACAGAAGTTTAATAAGAATAAGAGGGAAATAATGGAATTTACTACTAAGGCGTGCGATATCTCCATAA